AAGACAATTTTGACGCACTCCATTAGAGCTCAAACATTTCTATTCACATCTAACGAGGCTACGAGCGCTTGCGTGCAACATTGTTGAGTCTATCATATTGGAAAAACAAAAAAAATTGAACCGGTCCCGGCCCGAACCGTTGGGCCGGTTGAACAAAAGTTGGGACTGAGTCCGGCCCGCCCGACCCGTCCAAACGGGCTAAAAGTCCGGAACCGGTCCCGGTCCGGTCCGGGCTCGCACAGTAGCGGGCCAGATCGGTTCGGGCTGAACTAGAAGTGTGATTGCGAGTCTTGAAGTATGTGGTGTCTCCCCCTTCATTAAGATTCCAAAAAAGAATTTGAACAATGTAGTAGGTAGATTGTACGAATAACACACACAAACACACGCACACATGTACATATACATGGGCATATCAATTTTTTTATCTTCTAATTTCGAATACCAAAATTTAATTATTTTGGGATATAGTTTATGTGATTCAATAGAAGATTTTGTGTATTTAAGGTGTTTATCTATTTGTCCATTTTCTAGTATTGCTCAAAAGCTATTCAAGGGTTCACAAGATCTTTGGGTTGACGGGGAGACATGTAAAATTGAGATCCATAAATCCCGAATCATAAAAGCAACCTCTTTTTTTAAATACAAAGAGTTCCAGAGTGATTCCATTTGAGTTTAAAAACAAGTTTCTTCCTCTTCAAGCTGCCATCTTTGCTTCACAACTTTGAATCTTGTTTCCACATTTTCTTCAACGTGGCTTTGAATCTCGGTGTCTCTGGAGGATTTGAGCGACTAGAAATGAATAATTATGGAGATATATTAACATCGGTCTCATCCATAGCAGCAGTATTAAAGGAGCAACAAAGTTTCTTAGGTGCTGAAGAGAAGCAGGAAAAAGTTCAAGCAGTGGTGAATTCGAGAGGCTTTAAGATGAATCAAACAACATATTCTTGAATACATGAAAGTTGGAATGGATGTTTTCAGTCTTGAAGAGTATTAATTCAATGACTACTACTCCACCCTTAGGTTTGAAACAAGAACTCTTCTGCTAATGTGTGTTGCCTTTATCCGGTCCGGCCAGCCTAGTCCACCCACACAAGTGGCGGGCTTGGTCACACACACACACACACAAGGCTGACCCCGACCCGCAGCAACATATGGGCGGGCTTGGGTTAGGGTGTAGGCACATTCGGGGCCAATAAGTCTGGTCCTCTACATTGAGTATATATACATACATATTTATATATATATTAATTAATTTATTTATTTATTTATTTTTTGAAAGGAAAATAACTTATATTAAATCAAACGATCCAAACCAATAACAAATCCCAAGATCTGAATCCCCTTTATCCAACCAAAACCAAAGCTCATCGGCCTCCTCACATCATGACTAGACATAGAATAGTCCACCCTAAAAAGAACGAGACTAATCGCTGAAGCTGTGAGAGCATAGAGACTATTAGCGGTTGAATCAGCCCGATTGCCTCCAACTAGTAATCTATAACCTAAAGCAAAACAGAACACCCACCTACCCCGCTTATTGTTTGTCATAGTAGAAACAAAATAGAAATGATAAAACAGTCTGGACTTAAAGTAAAAGACTAGAAATAGTAAAACAGTCTTCCAAACCCTAGTCGCACGATTCCTCCATTGCGGCGGTTCCGGAGGGGGACGAATTTCCATCGCTTCATATTCTTTCTTCTTCGCTTGGATCTGCCATGAGTCACCTCCATCTCTTGACCAAAAGATTGCACGAATACAACCAATCCGAAAGCGAGCCGCCTCCACATCCCTATCCACATCAAGCTTCTGCGTCCTCGTTCCTCCATGGCCTCCATCTTCCCCTTCCGACTTTGATCAAACGGAACCGCTCCCCTGCGCAGACGAAGCAGCCCACCAACGAAGCAGAAAACTAGCCAGAATCGATCGAATGGCCAGAAGAGAAGCTGGTCGTCGATCAGCCTAGGGGTGAGCATTTCGGTTTTCGGTTCGGTTTTCTTCGGTTTCGGTTTAATCGGTTTGATAGAAAATGTACCAAATACAAACCGATTAAGTTTCGGTTTGGTTTCGGTTTGGTATGGTTCGGTTCGGTTTGGAGTTTGGTTTACCAAAGTATTAAGGTTTGGATTGAAATAAAAAAAATAACTCAAAATAATGAACCAAGAAGCGATAGTAATGAACCAAATATAATGTTAGATATAAATTTGCAAACAGTAACAAAACACATGTGAACCCAAAATATATAAGCATCACACATTTGCAAGAAACAACAACGGGAATGAATCAAATTATACGTAGTATATAAAGCTGAAACAAAAACAAAACTGGTGCGTGTAAGTAATGAACCAAATATATAGTAGTAGTAGATAATAAATTCTACCCCATAGTTAAATACTATCTACTTAAACCACTATAGTTATTGTTGTGAATGTAACTCTTGTAGTAAACTCTAGTCGTGGACACTAAAATTAAAGAACTAAAGCTTCAAAAAGATTAACATCAATTAAATTAATGAGAGAAATCTTATATTTTGGTTTGGTTTAGTTTGGTGTAAGTTGGTTTTGATTTGTTATTTTAAAAAAATAAGAAATTGTTTCTGATAGAGTATATCTCCTGAATTCTAGAGAGAAGTGAGAGCTAGAGAGAGAAGTGCAATAATATGCTTCAATAGAATGAATCTGTCACCCCTATAACTACCCCCAAGGGGAGTATTTATAGAGAAAATTAGGGTTGGGCTCCCAAGCCTTGGGCTTGGGAGGCCCATTTACAACTGGACCGCTACTGGGCCGGATACAAAGCCACTAATGGGCTGTACAAATGAGTAAGTATGTGATCCGATTCTGGGAGGTCCTCGTGGCCGACGAGGGCGTGGCCGACGAGGGCGTGGCCGACGAGGGCACGGCCGACGGGGGCACCCGGGTTCCTTGGACTCAGGATCATAATCCGGATTGGCTTCTTCTCGGCCGACGGGGGCGTCTTGGCCGATGAGGGCGCCACTCTGTTGTCTTGTGCTCTGTTCTTCCGAGTATGTGGGTCCTGGGGCTCAGACCCATATACTCCATCAGGAGTCCCCCACTCTCTAAGCTGAGATGTAGATGAAGTGAAGGAGAGTAGATTTCTGTGCTTTGTTGTTTTTGGCCGACGCGGGCATTTCCAGGCCGTTAGTTGTTGCGGCATTGGCGCTGTTTCCATTTTGGTGATCCTGTTATGTGCTTTGGCCGTTACCTGCTCCTCGCTGTGGGCGGGGAGGCCGTTGTTTCCTTGACGTGTTCGTTTGAGGACGATGAGTGTCTTGTTCCGATGTCGGCCGTTGAAGGCGTGCTTTCCCTTTCCTGGACGTTGGTGGTTGAAGTTTATGTTTGGGCCGGTGAGGTTGTTCCTTGCTTTGAGGATGATGGCGTCCTTTCCTTTGGGTGGCCGATGAGGGTGCTCGCGCACTCCTTTTGGCCGTTGCTGTTTGGCCTTCGTGTTCTTGGCCGAAGGGCCCGTCAAGATTAATTGTTGGCGGAGGACGATGAGTGTCCTTTCCTTTGGTGGCTTGTTGGCCGTTGCTAGTGACGTTATGGGCCTTTGGCCGATGAAGTTCCGTTGTGCTGTATGGATGATGCGGCCATGCTTTGTGGTTACCTTATTCGCACTCTTTTGTTTTGTTGAGGCCGGTGTAGTCCCCCAGTCCCCCACTGCTTCAGGCCGAAGAGTGTGAGGGGTGAAGGAGTTGCTTGAGTCCCTGGCCGAAGCGGTCTCGCCGTAGTCCCCCTGAATCCAACTCTCATGGCGATTTTCTGGCCAAGGTAACCCTGTGGGAGAACCCTTGTGCGCAGATCGCTTGTAGAGAGTTATCATCAAGGGTTATTACGAGGAGCCGAAGGCTGTGGGCTATTTGTCCCCTTTGTTCTGTGGCCGTAACGTTCCTGGCCGTTGCCGTCCACTTATTGTCTGGCATTTGTGATATTGGCAAACAGATGGGACGTTGTGGGCGCTTGCTGGCAGTTGTAAAGCCGTTGAGCGTGTGTAGGCCGTAGAGTCTGATTTGCCAGTGGGCCGTTGATATGGGTTGGTCCTGGTCCGTTGGTGACGTGGTGGCCCCCCAGTGGTGGCCGTTGATGTGGCCATTGGGGGAGTGCCACGTGTAGTGACCGTTGGTGGGGGGTCTATAAATACCCCTTCCCCTCCGACGAAAAATCACGTTTGCATTCTGAATTTGTCGAAGTGCTGGCCGATTTTTTAGAGAGATAAACTCCCAAGCCTGTTCTTCGTGTTCTTCATTGTTTGAGGTTAGTGTTCATCACGATCTTCCTCACTTTTCATATTTTGCTCCGTAAGTAGTTGATCTAGTGTTAGGCATTTAAACACCTTTAGATCGTAAGTTCTCCTTAAGCCCGTAGTAGTAGTAATGAAGAGTTTGAACGACGACTACTACCCCTACGACGACCAGCCCTCCACGAGGTCGCTTGACTACGAGGTGCTCGAGGAATTTGAGGAGGAGATTGAGCGTTTAAGTCCATACAAGTCCGCGGAGCTGATGGACGAGGAGGGCGAGGACGAGGAGTCCGCATCCTCTTCAAAGGGTGAGGATGTAGATGCGTCCCGAGTGGTGGACGGGGCGTCCACTTCTGCCGTCATTCCGTGCCCGAGGCCGGTGTCCGCCGTTAAGGGAGCCGCCAAGCCGAAAAGAGTGAGGAGGCCGAAGAGTGGGCCCGGCGTCTCCTACTTGGATCTCACCAACATCTACCTGATAAAGCTGGAGAGCAGTGCGGCCGACTATCTGGTTGCCCAGATGTACGTGGGGCCGTTCGGGCGGGTTAGGGCGCCCAAGCCGACGGACCATGTTCTTCTTCCACCACCGGGATACTTTGGAGTATACCCGATGAGTTTTGCTAAGGGGTTGAGGTTTCCTCTTCACCCTTTCATTACTGAGTACTTGGATATGGTAGGGCTTCCTTCGGCCTTGCTGACGCCGAACAGTTACTCCCTGATGGTGGGGTTCTTGCTCCGGTGTGAGGAGTTGAGCTACAAGCCGACAACGGCGTTGTTTATGAATCTGTACCAGATAGGCCGAGGAAGCCACAAGAACTGTGCGGCCTACGCGACTCTTCAGCAGCTGCCGAAGAAGAGGAGCTTCACGGATTTGCCTACGTCCATTCATGGGTGGAAGAGCAAGTTCGTGTTTGTGTCCATCGGTGAGAGTGGCACTGAGTTTCCCTCCCTCGGCCACACCGGGAGATTTAATCTGCATGATCCGCCGAAGAGCTCTATTTTGGACGCTCAGGTGGAGGCTTTCCTGGAGGGGGGGCCGAGGAGCGTGAAAGAGTACATCACCGAGTACAAGATGGCCGCCCTCGGCTTCGTGAGGTACTATGTTTATGGTGACAAGGAGGATGACCTCCAACTCTGGCCGAGGATGACCACCACCTTTGAGGAGGCCGACGGCCCAGACTTGGGCATTCCTGTTGAGGCCGATGGTAATTCTTTCTTCGGCTTTCTGTCTTTATGTTTTGTCCTTTGCTTTACTAATCTGTTTGTGCTTTTCCCTTGTAGATTTTGTCATGGACCGCCGTTCCATGATGGCTATTGCGAAGGCCAAAGCGGCCGAGGAGATTGCTGCTAAGGCGGCCGAAGCGGCCAGGCGTGCCGCGGCCGGTGGGAGCGGGGCAACTGCAGATGCGGCCCCAAAGCCTGCCCCATCCAAGAAGAAGAGACCGGCCACTGACGGCCAGAAAAAGTTGACCGAGGCCGGCGTGAGCGTCTCTAAGAAGACGAAGAGGGCTCCTTCCCCTTCTCCGGCTAGTGAGGCCGGTACGCTTACTGCCCCCAGCGTGGGCGATGGTGGTCCCGTCGTGGACCTTACTGTTGCTGGTGATGCCGCCCCAGCGCTGCCTCTCGTCCAGGAACCACGGACGAAGAGGGCCGGCAAGGAGATCGCCGGTGACACCTATCAGAAAGTGATAGAGTACCCCGTCGGCGGGGGCGTGTTTAATGAGCTCGTCCCCGGCCACGTCGTCCTTGCCAAGGCCATGCCGGCCAAAGATCGGGCTCATTTGAAGAAGCTCGAGGACCCGAAGATCTATGAGGGTGGCATGGATCTTCTCGTCCAAGTAAGTGATTGTCCTTATACTCTTGTCTCTCTTCGTCTTATGTAGAGTTTTTGCCTGACCTTTGTTTTTCTTATGCAGAGTGCCTTCATGCTTATGGAAAACCATAAGAGGCAGTACTGGGAGATAGTCCGCCTGCAAGCGCTGGAGCAGAAGGCCGCCTCGGCCGACGAGGCGGTAGCTTGCCTTGACCGGCTCCGGGAGGATGCCAAGGCGCTGCAGGCCAAAGCTGATGAGGCCGTCGCGGCCAGGGACGATGCCCTGGTCAAGCTCGAAGAGAGCAGAAGGGAGCTTGAGGAGTCCCGAAGGGCGCTTGAAGCCGAGAGGCGCAAGAGTGAGGAGGCCGCCAAGGCGAAAGCTGAGGCCGAGGCCGCCGTCGTGAGGGCTGCCGATGAGGCTGCTGAGAAGTTCTTGGTCGAAGGGTGGAAGGCCGATGAGAGGCTCCCCTGGTGTTACGAGGTGGTGGCCGCCAGGCTGGAGAATTGGGGGATGAACTCCCCTGCCGGCCGGGAGTATTTCAGCCAGGAGATGTCTGTTTACTACAACCTGGGCCAGGAGCGGATGCAAAGGCTCCTGTACCGGCGGCTATCCCGGGCGTTGAAGGCCATGAATTACACGGCTGGATGGGCTAGACGGAACCTGAGGCTCCCAAAGCTGATGAAGGATCCCGAAGGGCAGGCCACGCTTCCGCTGTCGGAGCGGGAGTCCCCCATAGAAAGCTCCGGCCTCGGCGAGCCGGACTATACTGAGTTCGATTTCTTGGATGATGCCACCAGCGCCGCTGCCGGCCAGGAAGCTGAGGCCGATGAGGAGGGGGCCGACGAGATTGAAGAGCCAGCCCCGGAGGCTTGATCGGCTAGTCCCTATTGTAGTTAGCTTTTCATTTTTTTGCCCAATTATGTAATGGCCGTAGTGCCCTCCAATTGTAATGAATTTTATCAATCGAGGAAATTTTTGCTGTCCTGTTCGGCCTTGAATCCTTTGTGTGCTTGTTTGCTGTGTCATTTCAATTCTGTAAATTGTCTAAGTATCAAGTCATAACTTGGGTCACCCGCGAGTGTCCGCTACGTCCGTGAGGTTGGCCTTCCCGTCCAGTAGTCTGGTCGGCCTATGCCTCTTTGCTTTTACTGTCAACACTTAGGAATTTTTCAAAATTTTTCTAAGTGTTTTGGGATCCACTTAGGTGCTTTCCTTTCGGCCTGGTGGCCTGGTCGGCTTGACCGGTGTTCCTTTGCTATCTTAAGGGGTTTTTTCACAAAATTTCCCAAGTGTTTTTGATTCCTTTTGGGTGCTTCCCTTTTTAGCCCTGACCGCAGTGTCCGTTCCGTCCAGGCGTTGGCGTCCTTATCGTCCTGGCCTTGGATTCATCCCAGGTGTTTTATCCAGGGTCGTTGTCGGCTTGTATCCCTGTGTTCTGGCCGATAAGGGCACCTTCACCATAGTCTTGTGGACTTTGAATTTTTCACGAGTACACATGTAGAGGTGTAGGTGGTTGACGGCTTTGGAGTATGCTGGTACCCGTTTCGGCTAGAATTCATTCATTTGAGTACTTAGATAATTTCCTGAGTAGAAATGTCAGGTGTTTACGTCTTCGCGGTGCCACTGCCGGCCAAGGTCTGGCTTGTGGCCGACGAGGGTGCTGGATAAGGAATAGCTTGTCCAAGGAGATGGTCCTATATTCGTCGGCTAGCTATGGTTCCAGTGCCCGCGTCGGCCGTCCGAGGTGCTGTGGCAGGTAGAGGTTGTTTCTTGATTACTTGATCCTTTCGCGGGTGTGATAAGTGCCCGCTTCGTCCTGGTTAGCCTCAGGATTGCGATGCTGTTTTATACCGAACGTTGGTGCCTCGAAGGTCCATGGCCGATGAAGGTCACCTCTCGCGTGTCACCCTACCGATGTGGTTAGGGTTTTTAAAGGCGTGTGTATCGGCCTTGATTGTTCCGTTGTAGTGTGTGGACGTGTCGTCCATGTTGCCTGTCAGTGGTACTACACTTGTGTTTAACTGATATGTACTTGGCCAAAATGGGCCTGAATTGTGGGGATTTTATTTTTTCATTGCTCGAGGCCGGCAAGTGTGCGCGACCGTCGGCTTCCCTCTTTTTCCCTCATGTATATTTCCTTTTTTTTTTTTTTTTGTTTCGGGGGGTATCCTTCTTTCAGGCTTCGGCCGAAGGGTGTGCTCGTCCTTCGGCCGGTTCGGACTTCGTTTATAACGTCCGTGGTCTCAGGGCGGGTCCCGTCGCCTATTTATGACGCGGGCTAGACTTTTGGTCGGTTTCCAACGGCTGTCGTTGCCCATCCCTGAGTTTTGGGATTTTTTCACCTCGGCCATGATTTCAGGCCTGTCGTCCTGCGATCTGGCGCGTGGACGACGCGGTGAGCTTCCCGTTTTAAGACGTGGGCCGTTTGCGGGCCCCTCGTCCTGGGGACATCGTCGGCCATACCTGAGTGTTTCACTTCTAGGCTTACGGGGCCAGGACGATGTGCTCTCTCAGCTAGGCCTGGGCCCTTCGCTGATACAAAGTACAATGGAGTGCCTGAGCTTGTCGCTCGTAGGCTGCAAATGCAAGGGGCCATGTCGGCCAGACCTGAGCCTTTCGCTCTAAGGTGGCCGACGCGGGCACCTGCTAATGTTTTTACTTTAAATTCCAGAGAAAAAATCAGAACATGATTTTATTCATAAGTGGCTCGAGGCCGAGGGTGGCGTTCAATCAGTAACCCGTTAAGGGGTGAGGGCTTCGCCGTCTACACCTCCTTCGGATTACTGATAAAACTTCACCAGATGATGTACATTCCATGTTCGTGGTACATTGGACCCATTCGGTCGTTTAAGTTTGTAGGTGTCGGGTTTGACCACAGCACTGACGATGTAGGGCCCTTCGTACTTCAATGTTAGCTTGCCACCCTCTGTCGGCTGGCTTGCTTCCCTTCGGCGGAGGACGTAGTCCCCCACCTGAAATTCCCGGGAACGTACCTTGGCGTCATAGTATGATTTCACTTGACGCCGGTAGTTCTCTGCTCGGACGTAAGCTTGCTCACGCCTCTCATCAACCAGGTGTAGGTCAATCTTCATGTTCTCTTCGTGTGTGTCAGGCTCATATTGCTCCACTCGCCGGCTGGGGATGGCTACCTCCGTGGGCGCCTTCGCCTCAAAGCCGTAGCATAGGGCGAAAGGTGTTTCGCCTGTCGCCCTCCTCGGCGTGGTTCTGTAGCACCACAGGATGTTGGGGAGCTCGTCGACCCAACTACCTCCGGCGGCCTGGAGGTTCTTCTTCAGCCCCTCAATTATTGTTCTGTTGGCGTTCTCGACCTGCCCGTTGCCCTGAGGATAGGCAACGGAGGAGAAGCGGTGCCTCACCCCAAACTCCTGGAGGAGCTCCTGGAAAGGGGCTGCCTCGAATTGGGTGCCGTTGTCTGATATAATCTCCTGGGGGACGCCAAAGCGTGTAATGATGTTCTTGTAAACAAATCTTTGGCATCTGGCCCCCGTGATGCTGGCCAAGGGTTCCGCCTCGACCCACTTGGTGAAGTAGTCGACGGCGACGATGATGTAGCGGTTATTCCCGGCGGCTCTGGGCAGGGGGCCGACCAGGTCAATCCCCCATCTGGAGAATGGAATTGCGGTGCTGACAGGGGCATAATTGACAGCTGGCTGACCAGGGGCCTTCTGGAGTACCTGGCATGTGGTGCATTTCCTAGCCAGGTCAGCGCAGTCGCGTGCCATCGTCGGCCAGAAAAAGCCCTGGACGACGAGACGCCTGCACATGCTGAAAGGGCCCTGGTGCGAGGAGCAGACGCCGCAATGTACTTCTTCCATGGCTGTGTCGGCCTCGTCCTGGTGCAGACACCGCAGGAGAGTGCCATTATAGGACCGTTTGTAGAGTTTGCCATCTTCGATGGTGTAGCTTGGGGCCCTGAGTTTGGCGAGTTTGGCCCTCTCCTCGTTCGGGGGCAACTCCCCCGTTGTGATGAAGGTGGCTATGTCGGAGATCCAGTCCTCTGGTCGCTGGTGGACGCACAAGACGGGGCTGGCATGGATATTGGACATGCTCAACTCCTCGATCTTGGCCAACTGGGAGATGTGCTCCGGGGTGTCCGAGCTGAGCTTGGAGAGGATGTCGGCTTCGGCGTTCTCGGCCCTTGGGATCTGAGTGATCTCATGGGTTTCAAACGCTTTCAGCAATTCCTCCGTCGCTTGTTTGTACTGCCTCATTCGGCCTTCCTTTGCTTCGTACGATCCCTCCACCTGGCCCACTACTAGTTTGGAATCGCACTTGATTCTGAGGTGCTTGGCCTTGAGGTCGGCGGCGAGTCTGAGACCGCTGAGGAGGGCCTCATACTCGGCTTCGTTGTTGGACACCCTGAAGTTGAAGCGGATGGCATAGTAGGCTCTGAATCCTTCAGGGGATATGAGGACGACGCCGCCGCCGCATGATTTCGCGGCCGACGAGCCGTCAGTGAACAGGGTCCACGTGTCGTCCGGCTCCGGCCCGGGGTTGGCGACGGCCGTCTCCCTTGCTGTGCATTCGATGACGAAGTCGGCCAAGGCTTGCCCTTTGATAGATGGCCTTGGCTTGATCTCAATTTGAAACTGACTGAGGAAGATCGCCCACTTCACCATCCTCGAGGAGCTAGTGGGGCTCCTCATGAGCGCGCCGAGAGGCTGCTGGGTCAGCACATGGACGATGTGGGCTTGGAAATAGTGCCCCAGCTTCTTCACGGTGTGGACGATGGCCAGTACCGTCTTCTCAATGGGGGAGTACCTGAGCTCGGCCTCCCTAAGTGTCTTGCTGATGTAGAAGATGGCCTTCTGCACCCCTTCGTCCTCACGGATGAGCACGGAGCTGATGGCCGACGTGCTCACCCCTAAGTACAGGAAGAGGGTTTCGCCGGCTTTGGGCTTGGAGAGTATGGGTGGGGACGACAGGTACCTCTTCAATTCGTCGAATGCTTCCTGGCACTCCGTCGTCCACCTGAAGCTGGTTGCCTTGCGCATGATCTGGAAGAAGGGGAGTGCCCTCTCAGCTGACCTGGAGAGGAAACGGTTCAAGGCCGCCAGGCGCCCCGTCAGTCGCTGTACCTCTTTGACGTTGCGGGGCGGCTCCATGTTGATGATGGCCTGCGTCTTTTCCGGGTTTATCTCGATGCCTCTCCGGCTGACCATGTAGCCGAGGAACTTGCCACCCTGGACGCCGAAGGCGCATTTCTTGGGGTTGAGGCGGAGCTTGAATTCCTTCATTATCTCAAAGATTTCCCGGAGGTCGTCGGCGTGGGAGGTGGCCTGCCTGCTCTTGACGATCATGTCGTCGACGTACGCCTCCATCGTCCGGCCAAGGACCGCCCTGAAGATCTTGGCCACCATCCTAGTGTAGGTGGCGCCGGAGTTTTTGAGTCCGAAGGCCATGACGAGGTAGCAAAAGATTCCCTCTGGGGTCATGAATGCCGTCTTCTCGGCGTCCCCTTCATGCATGGAGATCTGGTGGTACCCTCTGAAAGCGTCGAGGAACGACATCAACTCGCACCCCGCCGTCTCGTCCACCAGCTGATCGATGTTGGGGAGAGGGAACGGGTCCATGGGGCACGCCTTGTTCAGGTCAGTGTAGTCAACACACATTCTGAACGTCGGCGGCTTCTGTGCGAGGACGACGTTGGCCAACCATGTTGGGTACTTCACCTCTTTGATATGTTTGATTGATAGGAGCATGGCGACCTCCCTTTTGACAAAGTCCCGCCTGTCAGCGGACAAGTAGCGCCGCTTCTGTTTGACGGGCGCGGAGGCCGAATCGACGGTCAGCCGGTGAGTGATCACCTGGCGGCTGATGCCGGGCATATCGTCCGGGCCCCACGCGAAGACAACGGCGTATGACCGTAGGACGAGGAGGATGGCGTCTCGCTGGTCTTGGGGGAGTTGCTTTCCGACCCTGAGAACCCGCTCCGGCCGGGAGGTATCCAGAGGGATTTCCTCGACCTCCTCGGCCGGCTCCGCATGTGGCCTCTCCTCGTCCATGGCGGCGGCGGCCGTGATGGTATCTATCCGCTGTCCTTCCCTTTCGGCCGGCCTCGTCAGCTTGAGGTAGCAAGCTCTGGCTATCCTCTGATTTCCTCTGGCGTAGCCGATGCCGTCATTGGTGGGGAACTTCAAGCATAGGTGCTTCATGGAGATGATGGCCTCCAAGTCCTCCAGCGCTGGCCGGCCCAAGATCAAGTTGTGGGCGCACTGGAGGTTGACCACCATGAACTCCATGTCAATTTTGGCATGGTGGGGGCCGTCACCGACTTCCACGGGGAGGACTATCGTGCCCTCGGCGTCGATAGAGTCCCCGGTGAAGCCGGATAACGGGGTCTTGATCGGCTTCAGCAGAGCTCTGTCCAGCTTCAGCTGCTTGAAGGTGTCTAGGTACATCACGTTGACGGAGCTCCCCGTATCGATGTAAGTGCGGTGGATGATGGAGTCACCGATCTCACATCGGATGACGAGGGCGTCCCTGTGTGACTCCGTACCCGGAGGCAGATCCTTGTTGGTGAAGGTGATCGCCTCCGTTCGCTGCTTCTTCGGCTGGGGGGGAACGTGGGACACCTCTCCAATGTAAAGGGATTGGGCCCATTTCTTCCTCTGAGTGGCGGAGTCCCCCCCAGTGTTCCCGCCCACGATGAGGTGGATGTGATTCTTCTTCGGCGGAGGCTCCTCGAAGTCCTCGTCGTCGCTGAGTCTACCAATCTCGCGCTTCTTCGCAGAGGGTTCGCCCCCACGTTTGCCGGTGTTTACCCAAGTGTTTTTACGTGGGCCACCTTTGACAAACTGGGAGAGTTCCCCCTGGCGAATAAGACGCTCGATGGCCTTCTTTAATGTGATGCAATCGTCGGTGTTGTGCGACGAGTTCTTGTGGAACCGGCAATATGTGCCGCCCTGTTGGATGGCCAGGACCTCCTCGGCCGGCCGAGGGGCCTGCTCGATGAGGCCGTGCTTCTCGGCATAATCGAGGATGGTGCCGACCGGGTGGGTGAGGGCTACCCCCGGCCGTTCCAGCCTCGGCCGCCAGTGGCGGTCTTTCTTACTTTGTCCACCAGAGCCGTGGCGGCCCTGGGCACCCTGGCCGGCCGGGGACGGACCCGAGGTCGGCGAAGGATTTGTCTTCTTGGGGGGATGGCCCCCCTCTCTCTTGTGATTGTGGAGCTCGTCGGCGTCGGCATACAAGCCTCCGCGTTGGAGCGCCTTGGCGTACGACCTCGGGGGGTCAGTGATGAGGCTCCTGGCGTACGGGGAGCTGCGGAGGGCTCCCTGGTACAAGGCGAGGAGGGTGCGCTCATCGGCCCTCTCGACCTCCTCGGTCTCCCTCGTCCACCGGTCGATGAATGACCGGAGGGACTCCTCGTGCTGCTGTTTGACGGAGAGGAGGTGGGTGAAATACTTCTTGGCGCGCTTCCTCCCGGCAAAGTGAGTGAGGAAGCGCTGGGCGAGATCTTGCCATGAGTCAATGCTTCCCTCTGGCAGCCCGTTGAACCACTCGTACGCTGGCCCCTCGAGAGTAGAGAGGAACCAACGGCAGAGGTATTCGTCGGACGCGTTCACCATCAGCATGTTGTTTTGATAACGGCTGAAGTGCTCCTGGGGGTCTGATCGGCCATCGTAGGACTTGATGGCGTTCCCCCTGTACTTCTCAGGGATGGGGGCCGAGAGGACCCTGTTGGTGAAAGGGGTCCTAGTCCTGACCTGGATGATGGGGTCACCCCGCCCTTCGGCCAGCTCCCTCTCCAGGGCGCTGACTTTGTTCATGAGCGCGTTGAGGCCGGGGTCGTTGGAGGCGCCGGCCGTAGGGACGTTGGCCGACTGCTTGGCCTCCATCTGAGCCAACCTCCTTTCCAGCTGGGCGATGACCTCGTCCCGAGGGTCCCCGTCGGCCGCGACGGCACCCGGCTGGTTCCTCCGGCGCTCGTTGTGAGCCGCGTTGATCTGGTGACGCACGTCATCCTCGTGCAACTTCCCCTTGCCATTGTCCGGGCGGGGCTGGTCCGCTGTCCGGGACACAGACCCCAAACTCTCCCTTGGCGAGCCAGGACGAGGATCACCAATCCGTCCCGCCATCCTCTCCGAAACCGGACGACGGCGCGTGTCACCTAGCCTATTGAAGGCAGAGGCTTTTCCACGCGCTGGGGTCTGCCCGGGCCGAAGAGGGGAAGCAGGGTGGGAGTGGGACGACGCCGTGTCCTGGGCCACAACCCCCTCATTGTTGCCTATCTGGTCGGCCAGGGGTTGGGGATGAGGAGGTGGAGTGACGTTTCCCCCGGTCCTTGGCAAGAGTGCGCTGAGGACGGTGGGATTCTGAGCCAAGCTGGCGATGATAGCCGATAGTGCGGCCTGGACCTGATGATCTACGGACGGAGAGGCCGCGGCCATAGGCTGGGCCGGGGCGTGGTCCGCTTTCTCAGCTCGTTTCTTTTCCAGGCCGAGGCGGGCGTCGGGGACTCCGCCGTTGAGTTGGTTGCGGAGGTCCGTCGTGAGGTTGAAGGCTTCCTGGAAGAGGTCCCCTCCGCCGACCTGGTCGGCCGTGGCGTCCTCATCGTGCTCCCTGGGCTCTTGGTCCTCAGGGATGGCTTTGCTGACGAGGTTGCGGTTTGACTTAGTTCTCCCCATGATCAGTGGTTAGCTGTGCTTGGTAGCGACGAAGGGTGCTAACTTGATTGTTCTAGCTCTCAACGAGAGCACCAAATGATAGAGTATATCTCCTGAATTCTAGAGAGAAGTGAGAGCTAGAGAGAGAAGTGCAATAATATGCTTCAATAGAATGAATCTGTCACCCCTATAACTACCCCCAAGGGGAGTATTTATAGAGAAAATTAGGGTTGGGCTCCCAAGCCTTGGGCTCCCAAGCCTTGGGCTTGGGAGGCCCATTTACAACTGGACCGCTACTGGGCCGGATACAAAGCCACTAATGGGCTGTACAAATGAGTAAGTATGTGATCCGATTCTGGGAGGTCCTCGTGGCCGACGAGGGCGTGGCCGACGAGGGCGTGGCCGACGAGGGCACGGCCGACGGGGGCACCCGGGTTCCTTGGACTCAGGATCATAATCCGGATTGGCTTCTTCTCGGCCGACGGGGGCGTCTTGGCCGATGAGGGCGCCACTCTGTTGTCTTGTGCTCTGTTCTTCCGAGTATGTGGGTCCTGGGGCTCAGACCCATATACTCCATCAGTTTCTTTTTTAGATTAGTTCGGTTTTATTCGGTTTTATGATTTCGGTTCAGTTTGGTTCAGTTTAATACGGGTTGGGAGGAATACTACCAAACTCAAACCAAATTACAAATGGTTCGGTTTCAGTTTGGTTTAATTCGATTTGGTACGGTTCGATTCGGTCAAACCAAACCGTTATGCCCACCCCTAGATCAGCCAATCATCGCTTAGGCCCGACATGAATTTGGAGTTGAAAACTCCGCTGCACCTATTCCAAATTGTCGAGCGAAAGCAACCCGCCGGGCGCCGGCCCCAAAACTTCCGCAGACGAGGGCGAGAGAAACCCTAGTTGCGCCAATTTAATCTAATATACGAAGTATAAGTGTGGATAGACTCGGGCCGGGTGGCCCGACCCGGAACCGGCCCAGGACCGGCACTGTTCCGGCCCGGCCCGACCCAGTGGCCCAGTCACTGACCGGTCCGGGTAGGCCCGGCCCGTGGGTTTTCCGGTCCGAGCTCGGGTCACCCAAAACAAGGCCCGACCCGGCCGGGCCCGAGCCCGGTTCGGGCCAAAACTTTTTTTTTTCAATTTTTTTTTAAATTCCCGGCTTGGGCTGGGTATTTTGGGCCATTTGGGGTGGTTTGGGGGTTGGGGGTGGGAGGGGGTTAATTAGGAAGAGGAAAAAAAAATTGATAATGGGCCCGACCCGGCCCGGACCCGGTGGTTACCCGGGCCGGTCCCGGGTCCACCACTTCTGAACCGCTGGCCCGCCCAGGCCTAGGCCCGACCTGGACCCGGCCCGAACCCGAGTCCATCCCTATATATAAGTAACTATATTTTATGTTTTATTTATTTATTTATTTATTTATTTATTTATTTATTTGTAAACGTGTATATTTATACCTAGTAATTACTAATTTATCTTTATATATTTATAGTTTATTATGTTGAGATTTAAGTTTTTAGTTCTTAACAACCAGTCTGACCAATTTATTATTTTTTTGTTTTCATTTTTGGGGTTCCACCCGGGTTGGGTTTGATGGTTAGGATGGGTTTGGGGGGGTTTTGGAGGGTGGGGGGGGGGGGGGGGGGGGTGAAGAGGGGGTAACACTTTGTGCTTGACTTTTAAGTTTTAGTTATAATTTTTAATGATTATTTTTGTGTAAGTATTTTTTGTGTATGTGATGAGAAGCCTATAAACATTACTCTGTACAAGTGTATTAACAAATGTTTAAATGTTTTAATATTATTTCAAAAATATTAAAGGAATTTTTATAATTTTGTAATATTTTACATTTTCCCGGGCCGGGCGTGGACTACCCAGTCTGCTCTTACAGGTAGGGGTGGACTCGGGACCGGGCCGGGTCCGGGTTGGGCCTAGGCCCGGGCGGGCCGGCGGTTCAAGAATGATGGACCCGGGACCGACCCGGGTAGCCACCGGGTCCGGTCCGGGCCTCCGGGTTTTTTTTTTTTGCTTTCCTAACCCCCCACCCCCTCTTCACCCCCCCCCCCCCCCCCCCCCCCTCCAAAACCCCCCCAAACCCATCCTAACCATCAAACCCAACCCGGGTGGAACCCCAAAAATGAAAACAAAAAAATAATAATTTGGCCCGGGCCCAGGCTGGTTAGCCAAATGTGAGACCCGAGCCCAGACCCACTCTACCCCCAAGCCTAGGCCGGACCCGGACCCGAACCTGAGAACCGGGCCGATCCCGGTCCCGCACAGTAGCGGGCCGGGTGGCCCGACCCGAGTCCACCCCTACTTACGGGCGGCCATGGACATGTGGTTAGGCCTGTTTTTGCGGGACAAGATGGGCCCACCCAAACCAATGGGGCAAAAAAATTGTAAAAAGCCTACTGGCCAGATTCTGTATGGAAGAAGCATTACATGTTTCCGCTATGTTCAATTTACGGAGGTGGTGTAATTACTCCACCAGATCAAGACCACGAGTTTAAAGTTTTAAAGTATAGAACAAGGCATGTGAATCAAGGCAAAATCTACTCGCATTCAAAAGCACATTGAGACGAGTTCAGCAGTCAAAAGCCATTAGATTACAGTTTTGTATCTGTTCTTTTGCTAATCAAACTAGTATATCAGAGACCACCGACAAACCTAAAGCTTCCAATGAACAAGAGAGAGGGAGATTATATAAAGTTCACGCCTCAACCATAGGTTCCGGACCAGAGGGCTCTGTCCTAGATCCGTTAGATTGACGTACGGTGTTGAAAAGGATGTCCTTGATAACCTAAAAACGTACAATGGCAACTTTGTCAAGGTGCATCCGATGAACTCATTGTAGATGTCAAATGCAAGGGTGGCTAGGTAATAAAGATACAGAGAGAGTCCGGAGATAAGCAACAACAAAATACAAATGTATGGATACCTGTGACATAAGTCCATGAACCTGCTCAACTGTTATCTTCGAACTATCACAAGTAATCTTAGCAAGTTGCGATTCCTCCTGCACCCACAGCAATGTTGCATATAGCACACAATATGCAACAAGAAAATTGATAAATGGAAACCGGAAAATAAGAGAGCAAATGCTGTTATCCTAGAGAGTACCAGGTCCATTAGATTTTGTGTGTGCGTGTGTATTGGGAGGGCAAGAGGGGGTATTTGTCTGCCTTTTCCTTTCATCCTTTCCTTTCCATTGATAATCGTTATCAATGATTAAAAATAGAAGCCAGTGTACTAGGGTCTAGGCGACTGAGGCGACTAGCCAGCCTACACTGTCAATATCAATGACAAATAAAAAAGGAAAAATTGAAAATAATAATCTCAACTATTGCCGGTTCGCTAACAATAATCCGAACTATTGATTATTTTTGTATAATCCCAACTATATGGACCGTCCGCCAATAATGGTCCATGACCGCTTATTACCTGCTTTAACAAGTGAATTTTTAATAGAAATTAAGCGTAAAAATTAAAATTTGGGATTATTTATAGGGATTACCTGCTATATCTCTTTAGAAACTATAGTAATTTATTTATAGTCGGTCACGTCGGACCATTATTGGCGGAAGGTCCCTAAAGTTAGGATTATTCTGAAATAATAGACAGTTGGGATTATTATGAGCGGATAGCCAATATTTGGGATTATTATGATCAATTTTTCCAATAAAAAATGATGAAATCAAAACCATTTACACCATCACGGCTACCACTTAAGTGGACATTCTGTTAGCAAAGGGGATTAGTTTAGGTATGGTATGGGATTAAAGCAGCATCCTACAGATGGGGCATACTCAGAACACCTAGTGCTCTTGGTGAGCAGAAAATAAAAACAGTTCCTAAAGGAGTCAAAGTAGAACAGGAACCTAGATGATAAGAACTCTGACATAAGAGTAAAAATACTTGTCATTATACAAATTTCAGAATCATGTTTCCAGGAAAGACTTTACCATGACGCTTAGCACTAACCATGGTGGCTGGTGAGATGAATTACCATACCACCAAAAAAGAGTATCAGGATGAGGTGTATATTAGAGGTAAATGAACAGAGATAAGGTGGCAAATTTATCAGCGTAATCCACAACTTATCAGAAGGCTGGGGAAAAGGGCCAACATAAGGACTAGTCATTTATCAAATGGGTAATGTTTTTTCAAGCTTTAAGAAGCTCAATAGCTCTTTGGGATTTGATCACAGATCTGACTGATTGAATGTGGAGTATTTGACAATTTAGTTTTAGATTCTACGTTGTAATTTCTTTCACCATTGGATGCTTTATGGCATGCTTCAGTCCAAAGTCTTAAGTGTTCCCTCCGAAACACAAACAAAAATAATTACTGGGCAAGGCCAAACTATTCATTTTTAGTAAACTTAATCAAGGTACGAGGTTTTAGAAGTTATGATCAGTTATGACACTAAAAGTTATTTCCAAGATTGTTTAGCCTAATCTACTGAAACCACTTGCCTTTTCTTTAAAAGAGTTTAACTTAGAAGCAATTGACTTTTAAACCACTATTTTTGTGTGGGGGGATTCTTGAAAGAGCATTCTTTTTTGGGGGAGGAAGGAGTAAAAGTTTGGGGATTCTCCAAAGATAGTTTATAGGAAAACATCATACATATCCAAGAGAATATAAGAAACATATCAAAATATTGCAGATTTCAATCAGCAATTCCAAGTAAACTTCACATTTCTACAAAAAATAAGCGATGGAAGTACCTCTCTTTTCCTTTGTGAAGGAGCCATTAGTGGTCCAAATCTCGAATGGGATAGTTGGTTCTCAGCTTGTTCTAACTTTTCAGCTGTATTACATTACAAAAAACATATAATATTAGTTTGCCTGACCCATACTAAAGTTCAACACCTAAGCATGCTTTCAATAGAAAGAGTCGTACAGGAAGTGTGTGGCAAACATTAGTCATAGCCTCATAGGTCTTACCTAGATCTGAAATCTGTCCTGCAACATAGTCTCCATTACCAAGTAAAGGAGATGAGGAAAGTGTGTTCACCCAATACTTATTCCACAGAAGATCCAAAAGATGAGAGTCCAAAGAGGATTTGAAGTATGTGATGTCCAAAGAGTAATACTGCAGTCAAGGGAAAACATTACGACTCATGTTATCCTCTATTTGGACTGTGATTGAAAATTGTGGACAAGAAATATAAAATGCCATATAACCTGTTTGCAGTGCACTCCAAAATCTTCAATTTTGTTCAAGGGGATAGTCTGATACTCAGAGACTGGTTCATCTGGCGGCTTATATCCCTCTGGGTATGTTCTGAACGCACCAATCTCAACTTTCCCAGCAGAGACTGTTCTTGTTGGATCGATAACTACTGCCAGAAAGGGTTCCTGAAATTGCTGGTTTAGCATTTGCGTAGAAACATCAATACCAGACAGCCAGCATCCATAACCAGGATGGGAATGATACCAGCCAACAACATTCTCCAATCGACCAGCCTATGCCACCAAAAAACCTTAGTAAGAGAAAGCTAAAAAGGTAAATGCCACAAGACCGCTTGCCTAAAACAAAACTAAGATAAAAGCTAAAAAGACACCAAACCAATGGAAGCATATTCCTGCCAATCCAAGCTTTTGGGCTAAAGTACAACATTATCCTTCAGGAGTAACTTGGAATAAGTATGAACCACCAATTTAGAATTGGCAAAGTAAGAATTCCAGGTATCCTCAATTAAGAATTTTGTGCATACCGTTAAAACTAAAGAGTCCTAAATTTTCAGTAGATTTTTTTATGGATTCACTAGAATATTGAAATTATACACACACACACACATATTCTTATGGATTTATAACCTAAAACAACAATACATACATGCTTATCACAATCCATCCACTTAATCCCAGATTCTCCCGGATTCTCATGAATCTCATAGAATTCTTTTGGAATAGGTAAAATCAGCCGGTTTAAAATCCAAAGACTATAATCTTCAAAAGTCCTTCAAATTTTATGTTGGGAACACCCTAATAGAGGATACATAAAGTGATTCAGTATTTCAGTATAAAGAAAGGTTGAAGCTAATTATTTGTTTCCATAGCAATGTAGGAATGGAGAATAGGCAACACAAAACATTGACCCTTATGAGATTTTATAGTTCAATTGTGAGGATTGAAGCACTGCTCCAAAACTATGAAGCCTGGTTTGGAACATTAATACGCACTTATTGAAATCCCCAATCGACTCATCTGAAGACTTAGAATCACGGACGGCACCATGCTTTGTCCAACTCTAACAAATTCGGAATTACAGCCACATAATTCGCTCTGTAAAACTTCAAAAAACCATCCTATACTCATAATACATTTTAATGGTGTCGCTTCAAGGCAATATAAGCATCTTAAAGACAACTTTGCGTACAATCAACCCTAACCTGTTTATTGGTTTGGGAATAGTCGACCATGTACTCATAGGCATCGGCCTGGGCATTAACCCTAGTCTCTGTGCCTTCGACCGGGAGAGCAAAAGCATCCATGACAATTATGGCGTCGCCGTCGGTTTTACCCTGCATAAGGCCCATAACCTCGATGGTGCCACCGGAGCGCGCGTGTACGACCATCTTGAGGAGGGCGAGTGCGGAGACCTTGACGCGCTTGAAGTAGTGTGGATCGTTGGTCCATGGCTTCTCCTGTTGGAACTTGGTCTGTGCAGGGTCGTCGTAGTAAAATATGGCGTCCGACGACGCCGATGCGGAGGAGTCGGCCGACATTGGAGGCAACTCCATTGTCTCGACGTTGTTCTCTATCTCCCAGGTTTTCTGGGCTATTGCCGCCGACGAGGTGAAAGATTCCATTATTAGGTCTAAAGTCTAACGCTTGGAGAAGCTCCAGAAACAGAGATGAGGAGTACAGTCCTCGCTCACTGCTGAAGGCTGATCTTCCAGACCGGTCCTATTCTAAACCGCGCGTTGACCACAGTCAAAACCACAATGAGGAGTGTGTTTTCCTCAAAATTTTGTTATTAAGTTGAGAATTTTACCCAAATAAGACCAAAACTTGTGGAAATTGCAAGAATAGGACACCCATGTTTCAGCTCACGCGCGTAGGACTAATTATGCGTTGAAATGTCAAAAATGACCTTCAAACCGCTACACGTACTCTGAGCTCATTTGACGGTTACACAACTCCCATTACGGCACCTCCCGGTTTCCAATTTCCCAGTATCATTACCCCTGAAAAAAAGATTCCAAAAATTAAATGAAGATATATTGGAAGCCTTACCGTTGAGAGATTGCCGCTTCCTAGTCGACGTAACTTCCTTGAGGAGAGTTTCAGTGAGGAGAGCCGCTTGGTTGAGGATAGTTGAAGGACGAAGCCATTGACGACAAAACTATGGATTTATCAAATACAGTTTCCGTTAGAATCAATTCCAAAATGGTATGTACTCATTTCTTATCATAATGCCTGCAATTGAATGTCGATTGGTAGTTAATAAGGTTTGAAACAAATTTGATGAATGTTAATACGTTTTAAATTAGCCGCGCAAAAACTCTTATGATGAATACTATTGCATTCGCAATAGAGTAAATGACATGTTTACTCTCATGACAGTTTAATAAATTTTACTTGCTCATATAGTGTCATTTTGTATGTGGTTATGTACTGCAAATGTAACCTTATATGAATGTTATCATGACATTATGCATTAAATAATGACATTGTATGAATATGTGTTAGGTTGAAAACAAAATGACATCACATATAATGAGAAATTGAGAAACTGATGCAATAATGACAGTTTAATAAATTTTACTTGTTCATATAGTGTCATTTTGTATGAAAGTGACATTCCATGAGTATGTGGTTATGTACTGGCAATGTAACCTTATATGAATGTTATCATGACATTATGCCTTAAATAATGACATTGTATGAATATGTGTTAGGTTGAAAACAAAATGACATCACATATAATGAGAAATTGAGAAACTGATGCAATAATGACAGTTTAATAAATTTTACTTGTTCATATAGTGTCATTTTGTATGTGCTTATGTACTGGAAAAGTAACCTTATATGAATGTTATCATGACATTATGCCTTAAATAATGACATTGTATGAATATGTGTTAGGTTGAAAACAAAATGACATCACATATAATGAGAAATTGAGAAACTGATGCAATAATGACAGTTTAATAAATTTTACTTGCTCATATAGTGTCATTTTGTATGTGGTTATGTACTGGAAATGTAACCTTATATGAATGTTATCATGACATTATGCATTAAATAATGACATTTTATGAATATGTGTGAGCTTCAAAGCAAAATGACATCACATATAATGAGAAATTGAGAAACTGATGCAATAATGACAGTTTAATAAATTTTACTTGTTCATATAGTGTCATTTTGTATGTGGTTATGTACTGGAAATGTAACCTTATATGAATGTTATCATGACATTATGCCTTAAATAATGACATTGTATGAATATGTGTTAGGTTGAAAACAAAATGACATCATATATAATGAGAAATTGAGAAACTGATGCAATAATGACAGTTTAATAAATTTTACTTGTTCATATAGTGTCATTTTGTATGTGTTTATGTACTGGAAATGTAACCTTATATGAATGTTATCATGACATTATGCCTTAAATAATGACATTGTATGAATATGTGTTAGGTTGAAAACAAAATGACATCACATATAATGAGAAATTGAGAAACTGATGCAATAATGACAGTTTAATAAATTTTACTTGCTCATATAGTGTCATTTTGTATGTGGTTATGTACTGGAAATGTAACCTTATATGAATGTTATCATGACATTATGCATTAAATAATGACATTGTATGAATATGTGTGAGCTTCAAAGCAAAATGACATCACATATAATGAGAAATTGAGAAACTGATGCAATAATGACAGTTTAATAAATTTTACTTGCTCATATAGTGTCATTTTGTATGAAGTGTCATTATTGTTAGTCATTTACATGGTGATTAAAGTGCATATATATATATATATATATATATATATATATATATATGTGTGTGTGTGTGTGTGTGTGTGTGTGTGTGAACTTGACAGACAATAACAAGAGCTTTTAAGAAGTCAGTGTTACTGAAGTTGGAAGACTTGCGTGTCAACTCCTACTGTAATGTTGCTGAGGTTCTTAAGAAAATAAAGACATATCTAAGCACAGAGGAACTGACAGAGTTCAAGAATACTGTATTTGGTTGGATGTTAAGAATAGAAGATATTCCTTGGCTGAGTGGACAATTGATTTTGGGATTGATTGGAAACTTTGTGACTGAAGTTAATGGAAAGACAGATGACAGTGTCATCAGGTTTAACATTAAAGACAGTGTGATCAGTTTTCAGAAGCATGATCTTGCAGTAATGTGTGCTTTAAAGTTTGGAGCTGTGAAACCAAATATTTCTGAAGAGCTTGAGGGAGATATATGGACAAATTATTTAGGAGGCAAGACAACTGTGACTCGTGCAGATATTCAGAATGCATTGAAGAATTACAAGAGCACTGATGATAGCAGACTGACAAATGATGGAGTGAAACTGGCACTACTATACATAGTTTCACACTGCTTATTTGAGAATCAAGCTGCTAGACCCATGAAGGCATACTACATAAATTTAGTTGATGACTTGGATGCATTCAATGCTTATCCATGGGGTGATGACGTTTGGGTGGACTTGGTTAACAAGGTGAAACAGAGCTGTGAGGCACTAGATAAAGGAAAAGCAGACAGAGTAACATTCCCTGGCTTCATAATGACATTCCAGTGGTGGGCATTTGAAACTTTTCCTGGTTTAGCAAAGGCTGGCTTATGCAAAGTCATCAAGGGGACAAGACATATCATACCAAGGACTCTAAAGTGGGAGTTTAAAAAAAACCTACACTGGAGGTCCTTTCTGAAATTATATTCAAGAATGACAAGGTATGTTATTGATTAATATGTAAATTTTTAAATGTTTATGTGCACACATTGTTTACTAACATGGTTTTTTGTTTTAGTTTGAATGGGCACAGATAGTACCAACTGCAGATGAGATTGCTATGATAGAAGAGGGAAATGACATAAATGAGGAGGTGATGCACCTTGTGATAAACAATGTTGGCAGGATTGATGCTCAAAAGCCAAATACTATTGTAGCAAAAGGGAAACAAAAGGTGATGCAGGCCAAAGTATTCAAAAGGAAAAAAACAAAAGCTGGGAGGAGCACAGGTAAAGCAATCAAATCTCAAGAAGGGCTTTCTAGAAGAAGAAGAAACAATACTACAGTAGAGAAGGAGAGTGATGATGATTCAAGTGATCAAGAAAGTGATGAAGGTGAAGAGACCGATAGTGATGATTCTAGTGAGAGTGGAAGGGAAGCAGATAAGTATGTATTCTTCATGAGCAAAGACAGCAAAAGTATTAAAAAGAGCATCAGAAAACAAGCAAAGGAGACTGCCAGATTAGTGGCAGAAATGAAAAATATGAAGAAGAATAAAAAAAAGCAAGAGGATCTTTTGAAAGATGTCATTCTGATGCTCAACAAAATGTCACACGGTGTTGAGAAGAGTGAGCCTACAAAAGCAACTGCAGAGGGTGATACAGATGAAGAAGAAAGTGGAGAAGAAAAAGAAGAAAATGAAAAAGAAAAAGAAGATGATGTGATAGCCATGACTGGGCCAGATTCTGAGAATGATGTTGCTGATATGGTTGTGGAAGAGGACACTAGGTTGATGAATGCAGAGGCTGAGGATGGTGTTGTACAGAATGATGATGTTGTAGAGAATGAGCATGCTAGTAAAGAGAAACAGGCAGCAAATGTTCAGAGTGAGGATTCATGTGTGAATAAGGATGCTGATGCAGAGGTTGAGGATGATAAAGAAGAGAATGAGGATGCAGAAAGAAATGAAAACGAAATGCAAGAGAAGAACACTGAGGAGATAGAAAAGAACACTGAAGAAGCAATTTGTGACATGCCTACATTCAAAATACTCACTCAGTCTCAAGGTAGTCAGAAAAAAATTGAAGACAGTGTCCAAATGCAAGAGGAGGGACTACCTGCACAGGAAAATAAAAAAGACACTGGTGAGTCTGCTTGGGGGATGTGCTCACAGGAAAATAGTCAGTTTGTCCAAGAGATGTGCAGGAGTGCAGATGAAGTGGCAAAAAAGGCTTTTGAAAGCTATTCTTCTAATCCATGCAGAGCACTCATAATAACTGATCAGGTAAATGCAAAAACTCAGTAAAATGCCATTCATGTGGCATTTTCAAGTGTTAAACTGACATTCAACTGCCAATGTTTATGAACATTTTGTACTATGACATTGACTGTATCTTACTTCTTTTAAATAAACATATAACAACATAGTAAATAATATATATTATGCCAATGCCTTAGGAGGATCTTCCCAAACAAAAGCGTGTTGTTAGGTCACCAGTGAAGTACATGGGAACTGAGCATGCATCAAAGAGGAGGAAGAGAGAAAAGGGAAAGAAAAGAGAAGATGATGAATTTCTGCCACCTCTGAAGCAAATAATTGGACCTTTCTCTGAAGATCCAACAGAGAACCCACCGGTTGAAGAAATACAGAAGGTGAAAGAATACTTAGAAGTTGGATTGCTGAAGAACTTCACAAAAAACAAAACTGGCAGAAGGTACAAAAAGGACGAAGACAGAATGACCAACAAACCATTCTTGCTAGATACAATGAAAGTTGAATAAAAAACATGGTTATATGACCTGTTTATGAATCGCCAATGGATCACTGACAAGGTAAGCATACAAATGATCATATAGTTGTCAGTTTAATGACAAAGTGTAAATTTAAATACATCTGAGTCAGTACAGAATGACATTATTAGTCAGTTTGCTTTACCTTTAAATGATAAATGTGTATTTTACTTCTTACAACGTGTTGAGGTAGTAATGTACTATTTGGGCATGAAAAGGGTGCATTACAAACTGCCACAGAAGTATACCACAACTGGCCCTTTTTTCTTGCAAATACTCAAGCGTGAACTTGACACAATATCAAAGGGGCACTACACATACCACAAGTCAGCAGAACAAGATAACATTGTGCGTGAAATAATAGGTGCTAACAACTATAGCCTACACTGGAGCAAGGCAGACTATGTGTACTTTCCTCTGAATACTGGCAATCATTGGGTGTTGTTAGTACTAGATATCAAGCAAAGAAAAGTTAGGGTGTACAATTCAAATGCTAGAAGAGGTGATTCACTGAGGGATATCAGATCCTATTATGCAAGCATAACTATGCTCCTGCCCAGAATTATGGATTATCACAGAGTCTACGAACTGATGGGTGAAGAGATTATGGGTGAACGGTATTTGGAAGTAGATCCTGTAGAAGGATGTCCACAACAAGATGATGGGTAAGAGCATATAAATTTACTTAAACAGATTGCGTAATAGTGAACTTCTTTATTATTTTTAAAAAATGTTTTTTCTTTATGTTATGCATCAGGGGAAACTGTGGAATATACATGTTGAAGATGGCAGAATTTCTAATGGTAGAGATGGACATGGATGCCATATATCCTGAAGCAATACCTTTGTTTAGGGAAAAAATGGCAACTGAGCTGGTTCTATACAGCCAGAGAAGGCAGGCTGAGAAAGAATGAAGTGCAGCTTTTAATATGTAATAGTACTTTTGGAACATCCAGTACATTTGTTTTGAAACAATTATGCTTATCCTTTGTTATTGTTTTGAAACAATTATGTTTATCATTTGTGATTGTTTTCGAACAGCATGTTGTTTGACTTTGTTATTGTTTTTCGAACAGAACCTATGAATGTATGTTTCAAATGGTAATAGTTCATAGGATACTTGTTTTCATCTATACTTGTGTTAATTTTTAGATGACATTTGTGGTATCATCAATTGACATGATATATAAACATATGTCATTTTTAATAATTAAAATGACATCAGAGAATTGATCTGCGATTGTGAGTAAAGAACATTTGAATGATAGAATTTTGTTTATATGCAGAATGGCTAAATCAATACCTTAAATGTTTAAGGAAATTATAACTACTTCCAATGAGTTGGCAAAGGTAAATCACTGGGTATTCATTGGAATGGGATTCCTGCAAGTTTATTCAATTATGTTTATGTACAGGATACTTGTAGTTTCATATGCAAGGATTGTTTGTGGGGTCAGATTTGAGTACATGCAGCATGTAAATGACATAAAACGACAGTTACATGACATTTTTTTAGAAACCCAAATGACATCAACAATGAACAATATCAATTACGCATATACAATAGGACATCACAATATTGACATGCCATTGTGGGCAATGGAAATGGCTAAATTTATTACACTGACATCAAATGTCAAATACATCATTGACTTCTATCCATAACAAACTGTCATCAATGGTGAACAGAAATTGCCATCAAATCTGACATATGTCAGTTACGACTAAACAAAATGCCAAAACACAAGGCCTGAAAACTAAATGGCAGAACATTTAAACAAATGATAACTGTGTCCAAACCACATAATAGAATTCTTAAAAGTACTTTATAAAAACAAAAGACAAAATACAATGAATTAGCCATGAGTATCACTGGGTATTGATTGGAATGGGATTCCTACAAGTTTTCTTATTATGGCCAAGCACATGGCATCTAGAACATTTTTGTCTTTTTGAACCTCTATATTCTCCAATGGATGGAATCCTGGATTTCTTCGGGCGACCAGGAGGACGCTTCATACAAATTGGTGGCTTGCATAGTTGGTTTTGAATAGTAGCAGGAACAGACCAACTGTCACGATCAACAATTGGATGCATAATACCAGACCATGTAGCAAGCCAAGCATCTCTAGTATAAAAAGGAGAAATGTAAGTATAACATGACAGATGTGGGCGTATAGCATTTGCAGCAACAGCATGAACACAAACAAAGTGATCTAGTTGAAAGTGGCCACAAGTACAACTTCTAGAGTTGAGATTGACCACAAAGGACGTGCATCTGCTATCAACAACTTCAAATTCATATGCACATGATGGTTTCACCTAGGAAATGGCCAAAATATGAATATCAAATTAGAATAAAAATGAAGTACCTAAACAATATACTAACACAAGAACAAAACTGACAGATATGCAGAATCAAAATGACATAGTGATAAACAAAGTGGCATTATATAACCAGATAAAAAACTGAGAACTGACTTATGGTTAAAAATCAGCTTTGACATACCTTCATACGTGTAGCTTCAGCTTGCAAAGCTACAAGACGTTTCTCACATTTCCGTGTGAGTATAGTACTTGTTTTCTCAGCTTTATCTTTCCTCACTGTGAACCATTGTTGCATCCTTTCACGCAAAAAATCAACAAGTTTAGAGACTGAATACTCTCTTGCACATACATTGACTTTGTTCATAGACTCAGCACAATTGGAGGTCATAATATTATATCTCTTTGGTCCAGAAATTACTTTTGACCATGTGTTAGCACCTATTTTGTCTAGCCAAGTCCTTATCCTGGAGTTTTCAGAATCCAACATGGATAAGTAGTCATCATATTCTTTAACAGTTGCTGCCATATAGGCAGCTTTGAACTTCCATCCCAAAGTAGCTGCAGATCCTCTAAATTTGTGTGTCATGTTACGACGCAGATGAGCAACACAAAAACCATGGCTAGCATGTGGCAAGATTTCAGAAACAGTCTTTATAAGACCTTTATGCCTATCAGATACTACATAAAGGTCATGTCTGTACTGTATTGACTGACAGACTTTGGATAAAAACCATTTCCAAGAAGATTTTGTTTCAGACTCACAAATACCAAATGCAATAGGAACTATGTGATCATTGGCATCTTGACAACAAGCTGTAAGAAGAGTGCCTTTATAGTAAGCCTTCAGGAATGAACCATCCAGTATAAGAACAGGTCTACAGTGAGGCCAAGCTTCTATCCATGCTCTGAATGACATAATAAAGGTACAAAATGCATCATCCTTCCCTGTGACTAGATCAAACATAGAGCCATGATTCGCCATCTCAAGCACATAAGCCATAGAAGGCAAAACCTGATAGGATTCAAGATCAGAACCAAATTGCAGCTGCATTGCTTTCTTCTGTGCTTTCCAAGATTTTTTGTATGACATGGAAATTCCATATTGCATACTCATGTCTTCACGAATTTGTTTTGGTGGGTACGGTTTATTGGAAGCATCAAGGTATTTGTGTGCAATAAGTTTTGCTATCACAGTAGCAGTTGCCTGTCTATGTTTGCCTTGTCTATAATCAATAGAGCATGTGTGTTCTGGACAGAATCTAAAATGACAAAACAATGGCATTTTTATACAAGTGAGTAATATACAATTGGCATTCTTGGACAAGAATGTCACCAATACATGGCATTCTGATAAACAAGAATTAACAACGAAGTCAAACAAAAAGAATGAAATAAGAAGTTACCTTCTAATTTGAAACATTTGTACGCCAGGTAGTCTTACAGCTCGAACAGTCCAACGACATTTTGGATCTAAGCAAATAACATGTAAAGATATTTTCCTAGAGGTCTTTGTTCTGTATTGAAAGTGGTTTGTGATAGCATACATCTTCAGATGGTGGATAAGGTCTGTTTTACTTTTGTAAATAGCATATAGAACAAGACAAGTAGGATGAGACTGTGTGATGACTTCAAAATTGTGGAGAAATGACAGTGACTGAGATGATTCTATTACTAAGCCATCTGACATGTCATCCATGCCTTCATCACTGTCTTCAGATGTTTCAATTTCTACAGCTCTAGACACAGTGTTACTACAAGAAGCAACATCTTGAGAGTGTCTACCAGAGATGTTAACATTTTCAGTGCAAAAAGATGAGCTATGATCAAAAGAGAGTGCAGGTGAGGAGGCATGTTGTTGGGAAGAAACAACAACATTCTCATCAACAAAAAGTGAATGAGTTGAAGAAATGACAACATTTTTTGCTGAAGGAAAAGCAGAAGGTTCAACACCAACAAAAGATGGATATGAAGAAGAAATAGGATAAAACTCAACACAAAGTGGATACTTTAGAAAATCTGGTTGAAGAGACTTGATATAAAGATAAAATGTTAAGGTAGATTGATCATTTATAGTTACAGGAGGAGGGAATCCATCTCTCATATAAGAAAGCCTGAAATTATGATTAGGTTTGTACTGAGAAAGGATGGCAGTCAACATATCAACAAAACAAGCATATTGAACACCATAGTTAACATGAAGCCCACATGTGTGCACATTGGTGAACACATAGTCAGAATCCCAAAAACCATCGACCTTGACCATAACAAGTAAAACATGATCCATTGTGCAAAAAGGTTCCTAAAAATTGAAGGAAAAACAAATATTTCAGTATAACAGAAGCATTAAAGAAGAAAGTTGGTTATACTAAAATGACAGTTTGCGTGAATATGTGACAGTCTATAAGGATGTATAAATAATATTTACCACACAAAATGGCAAATCAGCAAACAATACAAAACGACAGTTAGAAATACAAAAGAGCCAGTTATGAAGAACCTAATCTAGTACTTACAGCAAGACGCAATTTAAACACCAAGATTAAACGCAGAAATAGCAACATACGAAGAAATTTCATGAAATAAAAGCATTGGTAGAGTTGATGAAAAGCAAACGAGCTAAATTATTAACAATAATGAATTTGAAATCGATTATAAAAATTTTGAATTTTTTGTTAATATTGTAGAAGCAAAATACAGAGGAATAAAACATATTGATGATTGCAGAACGACATGTGTACAACGGACGAATTGACATATTCTAGAAGCAAAATGAGAGCAATTGCAACATAAATTTAACCATGATTGATGAAGAAGGACTATACAGGAAAGTTTCGGTGAACATACTCTGCAAACGAACGAACAATGGCGGAAGAAGATGAATGCAGAGGAGAAGGACGAACAGATCAAACAAATCGCGAAGAAGATGATTGACGAAGAAGAAGAATAACGCGAAAAAAAAAACAGAGTACCTCAACTGACTTCCCAACTGATTTAGGAAACTAATTTTCTGGAAAGAATCTCGATCAAAGAGGGAAACTAACGGAAACTCATAAATGGTTTCACACATGGATTACCGAAAATAGCCGGTAACACCTGCGGCGTAATGGCAAACATAGGCAGGGGTATTTTGGATATTGCTTAAAGCGTTAAACATACCCGTAGAACCGTATAACTCCTATTAGGGGGAATAAAACATAGTAAGTCCTATTATGGCTTTTTAAGTAAGTTTTAGTCCTATTATGGACAATTTTTTCTATTAAGTTTAATACTTCCTCCGTCCCGAAATAATTGTCCTGCTTTTCTTTTCAGTTCGTCCCGAAATAATTGTCTCCTTTCCTTATTTGGTAAACAAATCTATACAAAACAGTGTCAAACAGTGCAAAACAGTGCAAAACAGTGCAAAACATTGTCGCTACAGTATGGAGTTTTGATTTGTTTAGTCTTAATATTATATTTAAGACCCCAAGTGTGATAAATAAAAAATTAATGGGAAGATGAACTGACAGTTGGCTTTTGTTAAGGAGTCGCCTAAATGATACGGAGTAATAAATTCATCAAAAAGATGTTTTTTTGCTCCTAAAATTAGCTTAGTTTCTTATTTGCTCTTAGAGGTTTACCTTAGTGGTTGAATTGCTCTTAAAATTAGCTTAGTGTCTTATTTGCTCTTAGAGGTTTATCTTAGTGGTCTAATTGCTCCTTCTTCCAAGAAAAAATAATGAAGTTTTGGGATAACAAAAAGGAAAGATGATAAAGTTTTAAGTGACGGAGAGAGTAAGATATAAGTGTGATATTGAGTTTTTTATCGCATTTATCCCATCCGCATATTTTGTTTGTGTCATAAATATATCTTTTAATTATTTTGAATGAATTGTCCGCGATGCCAACAAAAAGTATAGAGTTTGTACAAAACGTGTACAAGACATGTATAAATTGTTTATCCAAAAAAAAACTATGACGAATTGAAATTCTTTCATTGATTTCTTTAATTTAATGAAAGTCTATTGCCCGGAAACAAGGAGTTATTAAAAAATGTAAAACAAGAATGGACATCATTTAAAAGAAAAATTAATGGTTGTCTATCACATACTCTTTTGATTTCATGTTTTACTAGTATAGTACCCGTGCATACGCACGGGAAAGAGCAGTTGATGCATATATTTGTACTCATTATCTAATTACAAATTAATATGTAAATATTTCTCGCTTAATAATTAGTAAGATTATCTTCTTATATCTAAAAGCATCACATATGAGAGAGAACTCTCCTGCTCAATTGTAAGCTTACATATCTACATATACATAAAAACAATACATATGGTAGCGAAAATTCTCTTGCTCAATTGTATGTTGGATTATCATCATACTTAAAAGAAGTACACATGAGAAAGAAAGTTTGTCCACTCAATTGTTAGCAAGCTTATTGTCTTATCTTAATATATCTAAAATCGCTATATATGAGAGAGAAAATTATATTGTTCAATTTCCCCGTTCAATTGTTAGCAAACTTATATTGTAATATGTAGAAGCACTACATGTGAGAAAGAAAATTCTCTCGCTTAATTATTAGGAAGCCTATTTTCTGTTACTCAGAATCACTGCGTATGAGAGATAAAGTTATCACGCTCAATTGTTAGTCGACTTATCTTATACGGAGTACTTGAAAACACTACATATGAGAGAGAGTTTCCACACTCAATTATTAGCAAAGTTACCTTCTAACAATACCTAAAAACATTACATATGAGAGAAAATTTTCCTAGTCAATTTGTCTACTCAATTGTTAGCAAGCTTATTTTCTGATACATTGAAGCACTACATGTGAGAGAGAAAATTTTTCCACTCAATTATTAGCAAACTTATTTTCTTATACATAAAACCTGCCACTACATATGAGAGACAAAATTCTTCTACCCAATTGTTAGTCGGCTTATCTTATACTTAAAAGAACTACATATCAGAGAATTTTCCCGCTCAATACCTAAAAGCACCACATATGATAGAAAATTTTCCCGCTCAATTTCTCTGCTCAATTGTTAGCAAGGTTATCTTCTCATACCTAGAAACACTATATATTAGAGGGAAATGTTTTCCACTCAGTTATTATCAAACTTAATTTGCTAATAATTGAGCGATGAAACTCTCTCTCTCTCTCTCTCACACACATATATAGGATGTTTAGTTGTTTGATTTTTGAATTTAATATAAGCGTTTTCCAGCAAAAAAATTATATTTTAGTTTTATAATCCGTATCAAAGTAACTATAAGGAAGAACCTCTCCAATATATAGATATTTCTAAATAAAAACAAAATTAAATTGTCTATGAACTTTTATAGTGACTTTGATATAATTTTAAACATAATTATAGTAACTAAAAATTAATAAGTCGTACTTTTAGTCAATATCTAAAAGACTACATAAAAGCCTATTTTCTGTTACTCAGAATCACTACGTATGAGAGATAAAGTTATCACGCTCAATTGTTAGTCGACTTATCTTATACTTGAAAACACTACATATGAGAGAGAGTTTCTCCACTCAATTATTAACAAAGTTACCTTCTAATAATACCTAAAAACATTACATATGAGAGATAAAATTTTCCAAGTCAATTTGTCTACTCAATTGTTAGCAAGCTTATTTTCTGATACATTGAAGCACTACATGTGAGAGAGAAAATTTTTCCACTCAATTATTAGCAAACTTATTTTCTTATACATAAAACCTGCCACTACATATGAGAGACAAAATTCTTCTACCCAATTTTAAGCCGGCTTATCTTGTAACACCGCCCCCGAGTATTTGTACTGTACCAAATTATGTATTGAACCTTGAGAAATGTATAAAAGCATTTTTACGTGGTTGTAAAATTTTATCATTTCTATTACGTGAATAGTAAAATTCACGTGAATAGTATCATTTCTACATGTGATATTAACCTTGGGCTAGATAATATGAATATGGTGGTAGATATCCTAATTGGGCCATGGCGATGCCATATAGTTGACCGGTTGGTCAAACGGGGCCAAAATTATCGGTATCGGAAATTATCAGATAACAGCCCAAAAAGGGATTTCGGAGACTTCTAAATTAAAGTTGGGGAATGCATATTGTTACTAAGGTCCAACAAGGATTGAGAACAAGTGTTATATTTTATTTGACCCGATAAAATAAAATATACTTAAAACAGTCCGGAAAATACAACTTTCGGGACCGATTGTACACTCGGGTACACAAAGGGTTGACCTCCCACATGAGTGGGGGCCAACCCACGTCCTTGGTCTGGAAAATAGCCAGGGGATCCGCATCATGGAGCTGAGAATTGGCTGGGGAAGTGATTGGGAGACCAATCAATATGAGGGTGGGACCTTTGCCATATGATTTGGTGAGAAATGCCAAAATGGCATCCTCAATCACCCCTCACCCCATATGCTCGGTTCAATCATCCAAGGAAGGGAGAGAAACTCTGAAAATACTCCATTTCCTCATCCTTTCACGCACCAAGAACAAAGGAGGAAGAAGGAGGGGAAAAGAGAAAAGAAAAGTTGGTTTTGGAGAGGAAAACTTGTGTTTAGCAAGGTAAGGACTCCATTAACCCCATTTCGTTTTCTTTAATCATCTTATATGATTATTCAATCATATTTCACACCCTAGGATTGTTCTACACGTTGGGATGTGTAGAAAGAGGGGTTGGAAGGTGGTTCTAAGTCCAAGAACAGACTTAGAAGCCAAAGGACCGGTTCGCCGGAAAATAACCTTTTGAAGGTTATTTATATTACTATGGGTTTTATGATGATA